TTTTTTTTGTATGTCTAGTAAAACGTTTTCATTGTATGTTTGACTAGAAGCAGAGATCCTCTGGGACAATTTGTTTTAGTTGGAGGAGATGCCGAAACTGCCTTTACATATCAGGACCTCTCCAACACTGGATACGTTTAAAACTCGTTTAAAGACCCATTTTTACTCTTTGGCTTTTAATAATGTATGAGTCTGTCATTATTTTATTCTTATTTTTTTCTTATCTTTTATTCTACTTTCCTTTTAAATTTTATCTAATTATTTTATTGTACAGTACTCTGGTCAACAGTTGTTGTTTTTAAAAGTGCTATATAAATAAAATTGATTTGATTTGATAGTAAAATGAATTCTGACTTTTTTTTGTCTTTATCACAGATGAAGTCTCGCTGGAAGCAAAAGGAGTTCATGGCGAAGTCATGGGAGGATTATGTTTCTAGGACTTCAAACTATGAAGCCCTGAAGGTTTAAAGATTTTTAACTATAAATTCTATCATAGTAATAATAATAATAATAATGATAATATCTAGATTCTCAGTATAAGTAGTAAGTGTATATTTTTGTTATGTGCTTTGTATACAGGAAGTAAAAGCACAGAGGGAGAAGAACGCCGAATCATCCAGACCTAAACCAAAGCACGAGGATGCTGCTATCCGCCCTGCTGAGGTCTTTACACTTAACATTTCATGACGTTTACAGGTCACCCGCTTAATTGATTTAAAATAATTAAATCTCATATCTTATTTTCACAAAATGGAGCAAAGAAAAAAGTCTGTTTCAGGTATAGCTCATTTTCTGGTTCTGAGAATGAGCATTTTAATGCATGTAATGAATTTCAGCTTAATTTGGAGTTTGTGGCTTAGAAAGCATCTCTGAAATTAGTTTTAATAGTAGATAAATCCTGAAATTCAGGGGTCCAATAACATAAATGAAGAAGATGAATGAAAATATATAAGATGAGATTAGACGTACTTTATTATTGCCAAACTTGGGAATCTCCTTTATTACATTAGTTAAACTAAAGTTAAATGGAGCAAACTAATAAATAGCCTTTCTAATAACTTCAGTAGATCTTAACTCTGCACTAATAATGCACAAAGCACAAAATGATCATGAAGTCAGTGGAAAAGGTACGCTTAAATACGCAGGGGGTAAGAACAAATGGTGGTGAGGAATTGGTGTAGTTATTATGCAAACTTATTTTAAGGTGATAACCAAATATAAATCTGAAGTTTTGGTGAAATGTGATGCCCTTTAGAATATGCTCTGTTAAGAGTTGTTAGATACAAAAGAGTTTCTTTATCTTTAATTCAGTTATTTTCCTGTTGTTTGTGAACAATGATCAAAATTTAAAAAATTGAGGAGCAACTCGCTGTAGTCTTGACGTTCTGTTTCGGTGTGTTTCAGCATTTCATCGGACACGTCGTTGGAGTGGAGAGCACGGACGCTCAGGGTCCGGCAGGAGTGAAGGTG